GACACACCTTCCCAGCTGGATGGGCCAGGCACAGTGTCACATGCCTTTGGTCTCAGCACTTTGAGGCTTGCCTGAGCCCAGACAATCCAGGCCAGTCTAGGCAACATAACAAGACCCAGCTCAAAGCAACAACTGCATGGAATGATTTGAGCATGTATTGCAATGTGATACAGTGATACATTGAGTAACTGGCTTTTCTGGAGACACCAAGATTCCTTCAGGTCCTTGCTTCCATCCAGTGTTGTGAATTCTGTTTTTTCTTCTTTCTTCTGACATTTTCTGCCACGGAAACAGCCCCCTTGCTTTTGATTATGATTGTGAAGGTGACGCCATGTAAGGAATATAGTCATTCAAGTACAGTAAACACAGGCTGCGTGGCGAGGTTGTTTTTCCCCCAACATTATCATTGTTACAATAGTGCTTATTCAATGAACATTTAAAAATTCCATGAGCCAGACAGCTCAGTTGTCATTTCTGCTCTGTAAGATTTCCCATAAACAAGCCATCTAGATTTAATGTGGTTAATTTCTCTGTTAATGAAACTTCCTCCTAGTAAATAAGGAAATCCCACCTCTCAGGTGCACTGTGAGACTCAGTAGGCCCAGGGCGCTTTTCCAGGCAGAACAGTGACTTCCCACAGAAGCCCACCTTGTCATCCCCGGGATTTGTGAGAATGTCCTGTCTGGCACGGGAGAATTCGGTTGCAGATGGAAGCAGGAAGAGGGCGCTGAGGAATCAGTGGTTAAGGGGGCAGAGCTTCAGTGTGGGAAGATGAGGACATTCTGGAGGTGGACGTGGGGACAGCTGGTCAGTAGTGTGAGCATACCTAATGCCCCCGACCTGTGCACCTGAACATGGTTCAGATGGGAAGTTTTGTGTGTGTTTTACCATAACGAAAATATATCTTGTTGTCTGTTTGCTTTTTGAGACAGGGTCTTTTTCATAGCTCAGGCTGGCCTTGAACTTCTATGTAGCTAGCCCAGGCTGACCTTCACCTTGCAGCAATCCTCCTGCCTCAGCTAGAATTATAGATGTATGCTGCCACACCCTGCTGAAAACAAACTTGTCCAACAGAGATTAGAAATTTCTGAGTCGACCCAGCATAATCAAAGGGGTCTTCAAGAGGCAAAGGGAGGGGCCTGGGGATTTAGCTCAGCGGCATAAGCACCTGCCTTGCAAGCAGGCAGTCGTGAGTTCGATCCCCAGTACCGATAAAAATGAAAAAGAAGCAAAGGGAGGCTAAGAGCTCAGAGTCACCGTGGTGGGATGGGAGAGGACCTTGACTGTTACTGCCAGCTCTGAAGTTGAGGAAAGTGGGCAGAATCCACAAGTCCCTCCAGAAACTGGAGGCAGGAGGAAGTGGATTTTCCACTGGACCTGCAGAAAGGAAGGCAGCCTGGCCATACCATGTCTTTAGCTCAGGAAGACCCTTGCCAGATCCAGACCTACAAAACTGAAGGGACACTGTTTCTTTAGGTTATCAAGCTTGTGGTGTCACCAGAGTCTCCACAGACCATCCAGTCTTCATTACTTGGTGGTTGGCATGGTCTGTGTCTGACCACAGAGTCCCTTTCTCCACTAGGTGACTGCTGGGTGCCCAGAAGGTGCTTTGCTTGATAAATGATGCAAACCTGATGGCATGAAGAATCAAGGGACCCACGTTTGGTGATTTCTCCATGTGATGTTTCCTCCCACTTTTCTGTGGTGCAGGATACAGAACCAGGACCCTCACACACGCTCTAGTCAGGCACCCTGACACTGAGACACACTCCCAGACTCCCCTCCTCAAGTTTTAATTGGCAGGATCAAAATTTGTCTATATTTATGATTGGTAACATGCTACTTGTTTTTGTTCCTTGGATTTTTGAGACACTTTTGCTCTGTAGTTCAGGCTGTCCTTGAACCCACAGCATTCTTGCTTCAGCCTCCCACGAGCTGGGAACAGCGGTGTGTGCCACGTCGCCCAGTCTGTCACATATTTTGATATGTGTACACACTGCAGAACAGCTAAACTGAGCTAATTCACGTGTGTTATCGCTTGGGGTTATTTTTTCTTCGTGATGACAACTCTTTTTTTTTTTTTTTTTGTCTTTTTCCTTTTTATCGGTACCGGGGATCGAACTCACGACTGCCTGCTTGCAAAGCAGGCGCTTATGCCGCTGAGCTAAACCCCCAGCCCCCGAGTGATGACAACTCTTAAGTCAACTGAACCCTTTTTGCTTTTTAAGAATGGTTTTTGTTTTATATCGCAATGTTTAAAAAGACTGCGCGCGGGGGGCTGGGGATTTAGCTCAGCGGCATAAGTACCTGCTTGCAAGCAGGCGGTCGTGAGTTCAATCCCTGGTACCGATAAAAATGAAAAAGACAAAAAAAAAAAAAAAAAAAAAAAAAAAAAAAAAAAAAAAAAAGACTGCGCGCAAGGTAAGGAGCGGGAGACTGAGGCAGGAAGGTTGGAGCTGGCCAGGGGCCACCCGCCAAATGTCACCCGGGGGTGCGCGTGGGCGGGGGCAAAGCTTCAGCGCTTGGCTGACGGTTGGTCCTGCGCTGGCGGTTGGTCCTGCTCGCGGCTAGCAGGACCCCCTAGGTCTCGAGGGACGGATTCTAAACCACTGCACGTTGCCCAGGAGACCCCAGTGATGGCACTGTGGACTCGCCTGTATGGCCGCGTCCTGGAAAGCTCTAAGGTAAGTGGGGCCAGAACTTGTACAGCACCCGGTGAGGTGCTAGAAATCATCGTGGTCAGGTGTGCGGTCGCGGGGATCTCTTGCTGGAGGGTCGCACCTGCCTGGGGTACTACCTGGAAGTCTTCAGCGATCCCTGTCGCCCTCATTAGGCCCGTCTGTCTATGTGACACACTTAATAGCCTCTCATGATCGTACCTCTCACCTTTCCTTCCTAACCATTCTCCACTGTACTGAACTGCTGTATTTCCATTGTGAAGCCTTCTTTTTTTTTTTTTTTTTTTTTTTTTTGTCTTTTTCCTTTTTATCGGTACCGGGGATCGAATTCACGACTGCCTGCTTGCAAAGCAGGCGCTTATGCCGCTGAGCTAAACCCCCAGCCCCCGAGTGATGACAACTCTTAAGTCAACTGAACCCTTTTTGCTTTTTAAGAATGGTTTTTGTTTTATATCGCAATGTTTAAAAAGACTGCGCGCGGGGGGCTGGGGATTTAGCTCAGCGGCATAAGTACCTGCTTGCAAGCAGGCGGTCGTGAGTTCAATCCCTGGTACCGATAAAAATGAAAAAAAAAAAAAAAAAAAAAAAAAAAAAGACTGCGCGCAAGGTAAGGAGCGGGAGACTGAGGCAGGAAGGTTGGAGCTGGCCAGGGGCCACCCGCCAAATGTCACCCGGGGGTGCGCGTGGGCGGGGGCAAAGCTTCAGCGCTTGGCTGGCGGTTGGTCCTGCGCTGGCGGTTGGTCCTGCTCGCGGCTAGCAGGACCCCCTAGGTCTCGAGGGACGGATTCTAAACCACTGCACGTTGCCCAGGAGACCCCAGTGATGGCACTGTGGACTCGCCTGTATGGCCGCGTCCTGGAAAGCTCTAGGGTAAGTGGGGCCAGAACTTGTACAGCACCCGGTGAGGTGCTAGAAATCATCGTGGTCAGGTGTGCGGTCGCGGGGATCTCTTGCTGGAGGGTCGCACCTGCCTGGGGTACTACCTGGAAGTCTTCAGCGATCCCTGTCGCCCTCATTAGGCCCGTCTGTCTATGTGACACACTTAATAGCCTCTCATGATCGTACCTCTCACCTTTCCTTCCTAACCATTCTCCACTGTACTGAACTGCTGTATTTCCATTGTGAAGCCTTCTTTTTTTTTTTTTTTTTTTTTTTTTTGTCTTTTTCCTTTTTATCGGTACCGGGGATCGAATTCACGACTGCCTGCTTGCAAAGCAGGCGCTTATGCCGCTGAGCTAAACCCCCAGCCCCCGAGTGATGACAACTCTTAAGTCAACTGAACCCTTTTTGCTTTTTAAGAATGGTTTTTGTTTTATATCGCAATGTTTAAAAAGACTGCGCGCGGGGGGCTGGGGATTTAGCTCAGCGGCATAAGTACGTGCTTGCAAGCAGGCGGTCGTGAGTTCAATCCCTGGTACCGATAAAAATGAAAAAAAAAAAAAAAAAAAAAAAAAAAGACTGCGCGCAAGGTAAGGAGCGGGAGACTGAGGCAGGAAGGTTGGAGCTGGCCAGGGGCCACCCGCCAAATGTCACCCGGGGGTGCGCGTGGGCGGGGGCAAAGCTTCAGCGCTTGGCTGGCGGTTGGTCCTGCGCTGGCGGTTGGTCCTGCTCGCGGCTAGCAGGACCCCCTAGGTCTCGAGGGACGGATTCTAAACCACTGCACGTTGCCCAGGAGACCCCAGTGATGGCACTGTGGACTCGCCTGTATGGCCGCGTCCTGGAAAGCTCTAGGGTAAGTGGGGCCAGAACTTGTACAGCACCCGGTGAGGTGCTAGAAATCATCGTGGTCAGGTGTGCGGTCGCGGGGATCTCTTGCTGGAGGGTCGCACCTGCCTGGGGTACTACCTGGAAGTCTTCAGCGATCCCTGTCGCCCTCATTAGGCCCGTCTGTCTATGTGACACACTTAATAGCCTCTCATGATCGTACCTCTCACCTTTCCTTCCTAACCATTCTCCACTGTACTGAACTGCTGTATTTCCATTGTGAAGCCTTCTTTTTTTTTTTTTTTTTTTTTTTTTTTTTTTGTCTTTTTCCTTTTTATCGGTACCGGGGATCGAACTCACGACTGCCTGCTTGCAAAGCAGGCGCTTATGCCGCTGAGCTAAACCCCCAGCCCCCGAGTGATGACAACTCTTAAGTCAACTGAACCCTTTTTGCTTTTTAAGAATGGTTTTTGTTTTATATCGCAATGTTTAAAAAGACTGCGCGCGGGGGGCTGGGGATTTAGCTCAGCGGCATAAGTACGTGCTTGCAAGCAGGCGGTCGTGAGTTCAATCCCTGGTACCGATAAAAATGAAAAAGACAAAAAAAAAAAAAAAAAAAAAAAAAAAAAAAAAAAAAAAAAAAGACTGCGCGCAAGGTAAGGAGCGGGAGACTGAGGCAGGAAGGTTGGAGCTGGCCAGGGGCCACCCGCCAAATGTCACCCGGGGGTGCGCGTGGGCGGGGGCAAAGCTTCAGCGCTTGGCTGGCGGTTGGTCCTGCGCTGGCGGTTGGTCCTGCTCGCGGCTAGCAGGACCCCCTAGGTCTCGAGGGACGGATTCTAAACCACTGCACGTTGCCCAGGAGACCCCAGTGATGGCACTGTGGACTCGCCTGTATGGCCGCGTCCTGGAAAGCTCTAGGGTAAGTGGGGCCAGAACTTGTACAGCACCCGGTGAGGTGCTAGAAATCATCGTGGTCAGGTGTGCGGTCGCGGGGATCTCTTGCTGGAGGGTCGCACCTGCCTGGGGTACTACCTGGAAGTCTTCAGCGATCCCTGTCGCCCTCATTAGGCCCGTCTGTCTATGTGACACACTTAATAGCCTCTCATGATCGTACCTCTCACCTTTCCTTCCTAACCATTCTCCACTGTACTGAACTGCTGTATTTCCATTGTGAAGCCTTCTTTTTTTTTTTTTTTTTTTTAGCTGTAAACTTAAGTTAGGTTGACTGAACAACCACTGCAGTCCTTGAAAAACATCTCTCTTGAGCCATAGCAAATCCAATTCCTTTCTGTGTTCACTAAATTAAGCCCAAGAATTCAGGCAGGCCTTCCCAGGAGCTGACTGCACACAGTCAATAAGATGTAAGATGTAAGATGCCTGTTGGATTTTGTACTTGTCAGTTTTCCTGGCTGTATACTGCTTCTGTGCTTTTCCTGAAAAAGGATTGAGTGGAATGGGCCCCTACCAGGAAATAGAAAAAAACTAGGTAACAGAAGCGCACTTGTTTTCAAAACTAAAAAGTTTGCTTTTGCAAACAAAACCTCACATGGTTTGCTCTATTCTTTATAGGAGAAATAAGTAGCTCTCTTTGGGCCTTACATCTTCCCAGCGTTGTTGTCTTCTTTAGTGTCTTCATGTGGTGGCTTTCTGCATTTAATGGGTGCCTGGGTGTATCTTCACAGAGTATTTGCATCCAAAGAATAACAGATCTGTGAATAAAGAGATTGTCAGCTTTCCTTTATTAGCTACAGATACTCATAAAGTTGTAGATTTGTGGGAACCTGTATTTTCCGTATAATGACTAGTCCTGTGTTTTTGTTCCAAAATGATGTGTGAGGTGATGCCCACCATCAGTGAAGAAGGCCCTTCAGGAGGAAGTGAAAACCATGGATCTGGCTGCCCTTCACAACCAGATGCAGATTCCCATTTTGAACAGCACATGATGTCCATGCTAGAAGAAACAGACATTGCTCAGAGCACACTGATAGAGACTCAAGAAACATTGGCGTTGACCCAGGGGAAATTACTCGAGGTTGGTCATGAGAGAGATTCGTTGCAGAGACAACTCAATACTGCGCTTCCACAGGTATGTGTGGTTTTCACCTGAAACTACAGGTTTTTTCTGTTACGTGTCTTTCTGTGGTACCATCTTTTGTTTTTGTACCTGTATATTTTGTGTAACCAACCACTTGTCAAATGATAGTTCCTAGTGTTTGTAAGCGCATGCAGAGTTCCTGGAGATTCAGCTACTTAGGGCAAACAAACTAGTGTTCTGTAAAGTCATGTGAAAATATCTTACTACTTTCACTCTTCGCTGAGGAACTGCTAAAGATTTGGGAATGCACTTTGAAGGTTTTTTAAAAAGACTTGAAACAACAACCAAGCGGCATGGTCCTTGGTTTCTTTGATTCTGTTTTGTGAGATCTCTTGCTTAATGTAGGCTTCCCATGGCTTGTATCTCAGGAATTGTATGTGTGTTTAGGATTGTATCTCAAGGATTTGCAGTTTTCTAATGAAATTTAGTAGATAATAATTTTTTTTTTGTTTTTGGTATCAGGAATCGAACTGAGGACCTTGCTCTTGCCAAGCAGATGCTTGTTGCTGCTGAGATATTATCTCTAGCCCTTGAAATTTGGTAGACAAGGATTGATTTCACAGAGAAAAATTTTTACAGACGATCTTTACAGAATACCGGTGTTTGTAAATCACATTTGTAATATGGGATAGAAAACTGGAAATTTATTCTTTAGGAACTTTCTCCTTTTAGACTAGACTTCTAAGTTTAAAACAACTGGGCTGGGGATTTAGTTCAGCAGCATAAGCTTCTGCCTGGCAAGCATAAAGTCATGAGTTTGATCCCCAGTACCAAAAACAAATATATAAAAGTAAAAACCACCTCAAAGTTGGAAACAACTGTAGTTCTTTCTTTAATTATATTACATTCAGCCCAGTATCTCAAAACTGCCTCTTGTGGAATTAAATGGAGACTGAATGGCATGCGAAGGGAGAACATAGTAAAACTAGAAAAATGTAAGGTAAATGGTACACAGCATAGTGGGAGATAAGTAGCTTATTATTTAGGTGTTTATAAGCCATCGAGTACCATTTTACTTGTTCATAATAGTTGCCTTTCTGGTCCATTCAGGTAGACCTGAATAAGCATACATCTATGCTGTCATGATGAGCCTGCAGTGATAAATCGGCAAATGAACACTAGCCCTAATGTATTTGTTGGCTATAGTCAATTCTCCTGAAAGATTAATAAGCCAAGCATTTGAATTTCCTTTTTAGAAACAATAATTTGATGTTAGTGCTATATGTTTCTTTTGTTGGTTAGAAAATCAGTAAATTGTTTGCTTTTGTGGAGCATAGGGTTGAAGGAGGGCTTCATTTGTGTTTGCCTAAGTGCTCTGTCACTGAGCTCCATCCCTCCTAGTCACATTAAGATTTTTCTCATTGGAATCTTATAAATGTCAGAGTTTATTTAGGTCAGATTTTACTATAGAAGATTATAAGAACTGGCCAACTTGTATTTGTGTAGGGAGGTAATGGGGAGCAGTTTATGTGAAGGATTTTATAGTATATACAGGTATTTGTAAATTTGTGATGGTTTAGTTTTGTTTTTGTAATATATTGACTATAATTTGAGATATATCTACAGTTTATCTAATACATAGTTAATCTATTCAGTTTTTGGAAAAAACAGGCAGGCAGGACCTGAGAGGGAAGTGACAGGAGTTTTGTAGAGTTGGTTTCAGGCAGTGGGTGTTGTCACACCTGCTGATGAGGTGGTTGCCTGGTGATTTGTTTCTGGGGGGTTCTCAGTGTAGCAGCCTGGAAATGCTTAGTTTAGTGCATAATGTGATGATGCCACCAGGTCCCGTCACCATCTGAGCACCTGATGCAGCATTTCAGAAACACAGAAACCATGAAACAAACTTGTTTTGGTCCTTTTCCTTTCCTGGAATCAGGCTCATCTTTGGTAGTTGTTTGACTAGAGAGGCCTGTCAAGTAAGTGCCCGGTGTACTTTTGGCACATTAGGTAGGCAGGTCAGAATGTGCCCTACTTCTAAAAATTGAAGTAAAAGGCTGGGCATGGTAGTGCATTCCTGGAATCTTCAACCCTTAGGGAGGCCAAGGCAGGAGGATCAAAATTTTGAGCCCAGCCTGAGAAACTTAGCAGTTGTCTTAAATAAAAAATAAAAAGAGAGCAGAGAATGCTCCTCAGAATGAAGGCCCCCAACTATAGCAAATATCAGAAATCTTCTCAGCGAATTTTCCATAGAGCCAACACACTTGAGAAACAGTTCCTACATCAAAATGAAACACTGGAAGCCCCTGCCTAGTTTCCAGTACAGGTGTTTCTCATTTAATTACCTGCTTAACAACTGTTTGGACTTCCCTGCTGCTCAGACTTATGCCTCCTCTTTTTTTGTTTTTTGTAAAGTTCTGCACATCTGGTTCAGAGACTCTCAATGGTTTTTTTTTTTTTTTTTAGTTTGTAATGTTTATACAGTACTATACTTTTTCTGATGGTACTCTATGGTACTGTAGTTTCATGTTCTGTTGTACATTATATACTGCATAGAAGTTGTGCAAATAAAGGCAAAGTCATCAAGTTGGAGTTTCCTTTGACCATTTCTTTGTGCTGAGTGTTGTAATGTATGTACTATATACAGCTCCTCATTTAGCAACTAATTCTTTTAACGCTGTACTGACAGGAATAGGACTTGGTGGTTAAATGAGGAATCCTTGTACCTTTCCTCCAATTCTAACATTGGTCTTGATCTCTCACCATTGATTATTTTTGCTTCTTCTTGACTAAATGAAGTAAAATAGTACCTATATTGTGTTTCTTGGTTGTTTCATTGTTCATGAGATTTACCTGTGTCCTATATTTTTTGCCTATTCTCATCTGTTGTCTGGTAATCCAGCATACCAATATATCAAAATTTGTTCTTTTCTATTCATGAACATTCAGGTTGATTCCAGTTTTTATCAATTCTATCCTGAGTATTCTTGTGTATTATTTCTTTTGTGTATGAGAGTGAAGCTATGGCTGAGCATGGCGGCATATGCCTATAAACTCAGCAGGGCAGAATGTTGAGGCAAGAAGACTGCGAGTTTGCGCCCCTCTTGGGCTTTATACTGAGAACCTGTCTTTTTTGGGGGGCGAGGTAATGGGACTTGAACTCAGGACGTTGTGTTGCCAAACAGGAGTTGTGCCACTAAGCTATATCCCTGGCCCTCGGATCCTTTAAAAAAAAAAAAAAAAAGCAGAGAACTGTGGAGTGATAGATATCCCATGCATTTGTTCAGCCTTAAGAGATATTGCTAAAAGTGGCATTGTACTGACACCAACAGCATGTGAGAAGTCAGTGCGCATATCATCTTTACCCCTGACACTGTTCATTCTTTTTTTTTTTTTTTTAAACTGGTACCAGGGCTCGAACTCATGACCACCTGCTTCAAGGCAGGCACTTATGCTGCTGAGCTAAATCCCCAGCCCCCATTGTTTATTCTTTTATGTTAGCTTTTCTGGTGCCTATTTAATGGGAGAGGTGACTTAGTGAGAGAGGTACCAGAGATCGAACTCACGACTACCTGCTTGCAAGGCAGGTGCTTTTGCCACTGAGCTAAACGCCCAGCCCCTTATCGTGTATTTCATGTATTTCTTTAGCATTGCTACTTCTTCATCTGAGAAGGGTCTGTTCATTTTTGATGCCCATTTTTTGAATTTGGGGGTGGTTCTGTATTTTTGAGCTCCTTATATATTTTAGGCATTAATCCTTTGTCTGAGGAACAGCTGGCAAAAATGTTTTACCATCGCGTGGGTTGTCTCTTCACTCTCTTGGTAGTTTCTCTTGCTTTTCAAAAGATTTTGAATAAGATGCAGTCCAAGTTGTTGATTATTTCTGATAGAAGCTTTGCAATTGGGGTTTTTTTCCATGAGATCTTTGCCTATACCAAAGTCTTCAGTTCTACCTGTCTTCCAGCAGATTGGAGTTGTTTCTATTTTCATATTGAAGTCTTTGAGCTATTTGGATTTTAGCTTAATGCCTGGGAAGGGATATGGGTCTAGTTGTAATCTTTGGCATGTGGAAAGCCAGTTTTTTCCAGCACCATTTCTTAAAGAAGCTATCTTTCTTCCAGTGAGTATGTTTGGCTCCTTTGTCAAAGATAAGATGATTGAGTATGCTGGAGTTGTTTCTGCATCTTAAAATCTGTTCCATTGATCCTTGAGTCTGGTTGTTTTGTTTTGTTTTGTTTTGCCAGTTTTTATCACAATAACTTTGTAGTATAATTTGCAGTCAAGGATTGATTGGATTCCTTTCTGGTTTTGGTATCAGGATAATACATGCTTCCAGGAATGAATTTGGGAGTATGGCTTCTCTTTCAATTTCTTAAAAGAGACTGAAGTAGTAGTATTAGGTTTTCTCTAAATTTCTTGTGGTGTTCAGCAGTGAATCTGTCAGGGGCTAGGGTTTTCTTTATTGATGGGTTTTTAATTACATCTTCACTTTCACTGACAGATACTGATTTATTTAGAATTTTTATACCTTCTTGATTCAGCTGTGGTAATTCATATGTAACTAGGAATCTGTCTATTTCTTCTTTGTTTTCTATCTTACAATACACATTCTCAAAGTAGGTTTGGTTTTGAGGATCTTCTGAATATCTGTAGGGCTTCTTGTGATTTCCACCTTTTGATTCCCAATTGTATGTGTTTGGGTCTTTTTTGTTTTTAATAAGGTTGGCTGAGAGTTTGTCAAGTTCATTTAATGTAACACAGAACTCTTTGTTTCATTGATTCTTTGTATTATTTTGTTAGTCTCCATTGCTTTAACTTCTGCTCTGTTCTCTATAACATCCTCCTTTTTACAAGCTTTAGGCATGACCTGCCCTTGATCTAAAAGCTTGAGGTTCAACAGTAGGTTATTTGAGCTTGCTCTGTTTTTCAGCTATGGGTATTCAGTGCTGTAAATTTCCCTCCTAGGACTGCTTTCATTGTGTTCCTTATGTTCTGTTACAATGTATTGGCATTATCATTTAATTATAGATACTATTTAATTTCATCTATAACCC